CAAATGAAGGAAAAGGTAGATGCATTCTCTGGAAATGCCCTTATAAGGCCCTGTCCCTGTCGTGAAGGCACCACACAATAAAGGCGGTCCTTTGAAGTTGTGACAACGATGTTCCCACACACGTACGAGCGAAACCCTGTTCGTCTCAGGGTTTAGCTGCTGGTAATGGGCCTAACTACTGGGGCTATTGACAGCCCTCGTCGCTCACTTTGTAGTTTTGAACATGGTAGGGCTGATGAGATAGCAGACCGGGTACAGGGAAGGAGTCTCACAGAATTTTACCAGAACGCGTAATGTGTCCTTATGTAAGACCCCGCCTCCTCCAGTGTGACTCCGCCCACAATGTCAAACCTTTGTATGGCTGCGTTGGACTTACCCTCGTGCTAAGTGTTTCTATTTTCCTACTCACCACATTATCGTCCAAAGGTCAAAATCAGTTAGCCTTATTCGGGTTAATCTTGAGCTTTTCGGCATTCTTCTCAGGCGCAGTTTGGCGATTGGGGGGGGGGCATTTTGCTTTCCATAGATGTGTCGACCCATCTAGGTAGCCTTTTCTCGAGTTGACACGTTTTAGGATGGTGGCTAGACGCTTGCTCCAGCTTCACAAGAGTTCACAAGTTTCACCAGAGTGAGACTTGTAAACCGGAACTAGTGAAGCAATGAAAGTGCAAAATGCCCCCCCCCACCCCGTCGGCAAAGTGCGCCTTCTTCTCAACTGTTTGAGTCAATTAGCACTCAGACAGTCATAGCGGAATCCCACGGTGAACGATGTGTGATCGCGGAATATGTCTTTAAGCTCTCCATCAGTTCCAAACGGGATCACTCCGATCAGGCTGCCACACCTCGAGGTTTTGAGTGTTTTCAAGGAGGAAACAAGAAATGACTCGCGTGCCTAATTGCTTTGTTTCCTCTACCCCTTCATCCTCTATGCGTTTGTTTCCTCTACCCCTTCATCCTCTATGCGAGCTTTCTTATGTTCACTTTTCATTTTCTCATGATGGTTTAGTGACCCATTTGGATTGTGGAGGGTATAGCGACCTCCATAAAAAGGGCTCGCCGAGACTTTGTATTGTAGCTCTGCAATACAAACGCTTTTCGGTGAAAATGTTATGGTTTGGCAAACAGCACTTTGGGTCAAACTGCCTACGGTTTTATAGAAGAGCCAGCATGCCGGAGTAAGTGCCAAACCTGATGTTTATACGGGTCAGGGCTAATCGGCGGTTCCCGGTCCCGCGTGAAGATAACCAGCGCTACCCGAGCTGAGCTCCGCGAGCTCGTAATTCCGCATTCAGTGCACGCAAGTGGTTACTCCCTGATGAGAAGAGATAAGTAATTATCAGCATTTTTAGTTCACAGTCGGCCACATCATAATAAAGTAAAGTTTTTAACACAAACAAGAGCGCAGTTTGTCCGGGCGGGTGCGTGAACTCTTATATGCTTAGAACCAAAACAATCGAGAGATAAAACCTCTCTTCTCTATTTAGTATCGTTTCATCTTCGGCAAATGACCAACTTCTTATCTTTTAATCAAGCTCCAACTTTTATTGTGAGACGTCTGCATCTGTGCAGAACACTTTGGCGTCAGTCTACTTGACACTGTCACTGACCAGCATATCAAAGGCATTCGCGTCAGCAAAGCAGACTCACTGAGATCAGACGAATTACGAAAGTATAAATCGAGCAGGCGTATCTCACCGAATCACGTTATTAGCTCTGTGCGATCTGCTATCGCAAACACGCGATTACCTTGTTGCGAGATTATTACAGATATCTACTGAGTACCGCACGCCGAGATCATGCATATAATTATCTCTATTGTATTCATAGATTTTTGCGTAATATTGTCGTTTTGCGGGATGACACATATCTAATAACAACGAGTAATGTCCCATCGTACCTTACTAACTATTCAGAGGAAACGCGGTGTTTACGTTGTCAATTATGTTCGTGGCTGACATTGCTCAAGAGGACGTGAATGGTCTTCAGAGCCTACTCATTGGTACGTATGGATGTCTACACTTCGTGGCCTCACGAACGAGAGGGATCGGATTTAACAGCTGTAGGGAGTGAGGAACGGGGATCTGGATGTGTTTCAAAGTTCTGGTTCATGTCCTGATCCATTCAAGGTCATATTTTCTCTAACGGTGGTTCCGACGTCGTGTTGCTAAAGTGTCAGAGAAATTTCACGCATTATGGGAAGTCCACTCACGTAGCGTTCAACTTTGGGTGGAAAAATCCGCCACTGAGTCAGGAGCAAGTTATGAATATTACCTTATCTCCTGATATCAGTATTAATCAGGAGAAACACGTAACGCCCTTTATGCTACAGCTCAGTGCGATATAAACGGCGATAGTTTCCTGGTTATGGGGGATTGTTCATCGTTAATTTTTTTTGCGGAAGTTCAGAACGCCCAAAGTTTGCGCCTGAATTCGTGAAGTTTTGACGTCCAGCGATGAACACCAGTTGGACGTCCCTCAATAATCAACTCAACTCTCGACGTTTATATCGCACTGCGAGCTATAGAATATCAAAGGGCGTCAAGTGTTTCTCTTAATTATCACTAATATCAGGAGATAATGTAATATGCATCGCTTGCTTCTGACTAAGTAAGGTGGCGGATTTTTCTGCCCAGACGGTGAACGGCGTGTGAGTGTGCTTTCTATCATATTTGGAATTTCTCCACTGCCTTCCCAACACGACATCGAAATCTTTGGAGAAGGTACGGCACTTGATGATTAGGGAGAAATTTGAACCAGGTTCAAGTCTCAGAAAAGAACGATTCTCTAGGAATGTTAGGCCGTATCAGTAAAATCAATCTGCCAACCTCGAGAGCACAGAAAAACTGACACTCACTGGATATATTCAATAGAGCTAATGCACTCTGGTTATATAATTATAGCGGCCACTCGTCACTAATAAATCCCCTGAGATTTTGCGATGGAACGAGGAATTCCAAAAAAAAACTTTTTGGAATTTCAAGGCATCGATTCGTTACACGTGTAAGTCTCGACAAGATGGATTTTGGCTTATAAGTTGCTTTGAGGGAAAAGGGAAAGAAAGCTCGTAAAGGACAAGAAGTGAAGATCATCCACATTTATCGTTATTTTTTAAAACAATAAAGATGCTTTCATAGTTACATATCCCAAGCAGGGCACACGTTGGAGGGGGGAGGGGTCGTGTTTGGTAGCTGAAGGGAGGGGAATCGTATTTCCTGTAAGAAAATGTTTGCGCTTGTTGTCTCTTCTCGGATTTCCCGATTCTTGTGTGCTCTATACCCTTCCCCCTTCCCCTTCCCCCCCCCACCGCTCTCCCCCTGCCCCGCTTCGTCCCTCTCTGCCAACTGCCAGTTGATGGCAACTGGTAGTTTTTGAAGAAGTAGAGTAATTCGAAAAAAGCTTCCAAAAAACTGTAGGAAAATGGGAAAATTCAGGAAATAGGTAGGATTTGGGATGGGAAATATGCTGCGGAATTTTTCCCCGAAACCAGAACGTGTTTACGGTATTTAATTTTTCCAACCAGTAATTCCAAAACATGATGTCTTCCTCCCCCCTTCCCCCCTCCAATAAGGAGGACAGATTAGGAAGAGCGGAAAATGTCAGATGAATTAAAGGAAAGCGGCTTAGTTTCGATGTTTCAGAACTTCTAATAGCTGAAAGCGATTTCCTCCTCTCACGTCATAGGTGGTTTGCACAGGGCTGTTACGAGATATCCCATAGTCCTGAGAAAGTGTCCTGTAGAAGTGCTGCCTCACTGCTCTCAACCTGGAAGAGAGTTGGAACCCTCAGCCATTCCAACTAACTAACACCTCTAGGCACTGATCAGTTTAGAATCTGAGCCCACATTTGGCGGTGGCGCCCTGACGCCGCCTCGATGCCGCGGCAACTTGCAATAGCGACGAGCACGCACTTGCACGAGTGTCACATTCTCTCCTCGTTAAACCCTCCCATACCAGGAATAAGCTCTGGGATCCGCCCTCTTCACAGTTCTCAGCGATGGCTGCTGATCAATCCCTTCACCATCGTCATTATTACTGATAGCTCTCGAAGCGGCGCAGTTCGGCGCCGCTTCGTGAGGAGGGGGGGGGGACATTTTGCACTTTCGCTGCTTAACTAGTCCCTGTTTACAATTCTCATTCCGGTGGAATCTGTGAACTCTCGTGAAGCTGGGGCAAGCCACCATCCTGAAACCTGCCAACTCATGACACGGCTCTTCAGGTGGTTCGACACGTCAATGGGGAACGCAGCAAATGTCCCCCCCCCCCGTCGTCCGGACTGCCTCTCGAGCCTTTATTCTCTTTTCCTTCGACGCTTTTTTTCGTAAAAAGCTACTTCGGTCGTACTTCGTTTCCGAGTAAACTTTCCTTCTTAATTTGAATAAGCTTATTGGCCTCCTTTGGGATGCGCCATGTATCTTATATTCTTTGAGACACATGGAGTCATTCGAATGTGAACGAGGCCAGTGTGATAGTTTTAGGAAGCCATCCCATATAGGTCACGTCGTACGTTGGGAATCCCAGTGCGAGGTAATCGTATTTCGTAGCAGGAGGGGGAAATCGTAATGTTCTTGGTCATCGACTTCCCTCGGTTTCTCCTGTATGAAGTGCACTTCTACTTCCTTCACCTCGGCGGCAGTTTTTCGGGAAAAAACGGAGACCTCCTGGGAAATTTCGCGGAAAAGT